ACACACACACACACACACACACACACACACACACACACACACACACACGAGCCCTCAAACCATGAACCCTTCGCCCAAAAAAGCAGGACCCCTGAGCCACTGGCATCCCCACTCCCACACTCCGTCAGGAAATCCAGGCAGTCAAGCAATATGAGAAGAGTCCACACTGACTAGCTGAACCACTGCAAAAAACCCCACCTGTCCTCTGTAAGAACCTTTTAGACTGTTCAAGATAGTAACCCTCTCTAAAGGCCCAGAGACAACTCTAAATCCTATTTTGAGTGTAAGTATACTCAAATTATTAAACCTACTCAACTTATTTCTATCAAAACAACATGTCATGTACAGAAAAATTTGGAAGTATAAAATATAAACTACAGGAAAGAAACCACTTGACCTCATACCTATCCAAGCTTAAAACCCAAACTAGCCCTACTCTTTATGACATGCCAAGCATCACCCCATCTAACATCTAAATCAACAAATTCACAAACCTTAATCTCAGCTAACCATCTGCCTGCCCAAACCTAACCACATCCCCCTGCTGTACTCAAACCTCAACCGCACTCAATCAACTGAATCCCAAGTCTAAACTAATCTGAAATGTTAAAAGTAACCTAGTCCTTAAGCCTCCTAGCCCAAGCCAATTATATCCCTACCCTGTCCTATCCCAAATGCGCATTGAATCCTGACTTTGAACCTCATCTGTGGCCCCTCTGACAGCATGGACCCCTGGCCTCTGGGCATTCTGGGATGTCTTAATTCTTCAGTATCTTCAGTTGACAAGCCCAACTCATCAAATGCATATCTCTCCCTTCTGTGTGTCCCTCCATTGCCCCAGATGAGACTGGTGTATAGATCTCCACACTGCCATTAGGCCCTGAGGAGAAAACAAAATCTTCAATCTCACTTTATCTCACAATACTTCCCATACCCAGGAACCATACCCTAGAATACACCCACATGACTCCATAAGCCAGCCCCATGTGAGTCCTCCAGCCCGACCCTGGCTGTCGAGCTCTACCTTTGCCTTCTCATGTCTCCCACAGGACTGGCTGTTCAGCTTGCCAACACTGACATGTGCTGTTTCCCACCTCTGCTCCCATCAAGCTGCAAGGGGGACGGGAGCATACACACACAGTGACACACATGCTGAAGACTCTTCAGCTGACAGATATACTCTTTTTTTTGTTTTTTGAGGCAGGGTTTCACTTTATAGTTCGGGCTGGCCCTGAACTCACTATATAGCAAAGGCTGGCCTCGAACTCCCTGTGAGCCTTCTGACTCACCCCAGATATATTCTGAAATATCTACTGATAAATATACAAATGGCAAGTCCTGGTCCACACAAACACATTCTCACCTACCCACCCACACCCTGGCCCAGGAGCATTTTTTCTCCTCCATCCTCTCTGCCTCCCATCTGGTGTCTTGCCCTACCCACCCCTCAGCCCAGAATGGGGACAGACACCTGAGGGGCTGCCAGCTGCTTTCCCACTCGGGCCTGATTCCACCCTCATGCTTCTTGCTCATCCTGTCCACAGGGGACTCGTGGGGGATGTTAGCTTGCCTGTGCACGGTGCTCTGGCACCTCCCCGCAGTGCCAGCTCTCAATCGCACAGGGGACCCAGGGCCTGGCCCCTCCATCCAGAAAACTTATGACCTCACCCGCTACCTGGAGCATCAACTCCGAAGCTTGGCTGGGACCTACGTGAGTATCCAGTTTAGGAGTCTGGGCATTGGGCAAAGAGTGAGCAAAGGAGTTGGGGGAAGAGAGCTCATGGTGGAAGGGTCCTAGTGAATGATGGGGTGATAAGGAGGGGCCCTTTGCCTCCAGGCAGTCTCCCTGTCTCACCCATCTCCTGCCCTTCCCTCTTAGGTGCCCCCCCACTCCCCATCCCTGGCCCCAGGACTAGGCATGTGGGCAGGCCTCGCACCCGCCTTGGCCCATTGCCCCACTGGCTGCCAGCCCAGCCGCCCGCCTCCCCCTGGGGGCTGGGGAAGTCTCCTCTGTTTACACCGTGTTGTGGTGTCTCTTGAACGGGCGGGGCTGGGTGGGGATGGAGGGGCCCCACCTCCCATGCTTGTGTTCCAGCTCGCCTCTGCCCCCAGACCTGGGGCCCTGCTGCTTTGGACCCATGGGCCTCTCTGTCTGCCTCTCCCATCCTAGCCAGGCCTCTTAGGGGGGTCATGGGGAAAGGGGGCTGCAGAGAACCCAGGCCAATAGTGGCAGGGGGTTCAGGATGTGGAAGGTGATTATGCCATAAGGATTTGGGGGTGGTCTAGAGGTGTTCGGGGAGCCCAAGAGAGAAGAAGTGACAGAGGAGCCAAGGACCATGGGGAACCAGCCCCCTCTTCCCGTGTTCCTCTTCCACATCCCAGACCCTACTCTGGAGCCAGGGAAGGAAAAGGGAGGAGGGTGGCGGGGGAGCTGGCTCCAGCCCCAGGATACACCGAGGAAATTAGTTTGTCTCTGTGCTTGTCAGCGTGTGAACCTCCCCCTGGGCCCTTGCCTATCCCAAGCCTCGCCCCTCTTCTCTCTTTCCATCCCAGTTACACATCTCCCACATCCCTTCCCTGGGCCCCAGGCCATTCCCCTGAGGGTTGGCAAGGGCCTTGCCCTTTTCCCTATGCTACACTGTCTTCCATACTCCTGCTTGTCCTGTCCCGTCTTGAGCCTGCCTCAGTTCCTTCTGCAGTCCTCCTGCTCATAGTGCTGATCCCACCTTGGGGTGCTAGTGAGTGCCCTTCTGTTCCCTATCCCTTTAGCCAGAGGGCCCAGGCTCATCAAAGAAGAGCTCTAATGCCAAGGCCCCTCTGCCTGTGATACTGACTTTCTTCTTTCCAGTTTCCCTGTGCAGAAAACCTTTGCTTGACTCTGGTTCCCCCTCTAATTCCCGACCCTTTTTCTCTCCTGGCTTCCCCTGCCAAATTTCTCAAAGGAGTGGTCTACACCCTCTGCCTCCACTTCCTCTCCACCCACTCACTCCTTAACCCCCTGCAATCTGGCTTCCAGGCCACAGCAACAGTTCTCTCCCAGGTCGTCAGGCATCTCCTCACCAAACCCAACAGCATTTTCTAAGGCTCTTTCTCCTTGCTGTTTTGCAGCCGCCCTGTGGAGCACTGCTGCCTTCTTCAGCTCCTCTTCTTGGCCTCTGCACTCTCCTGGGCCACCTTCTACCTCTCCAGCCTGGCCTTCTGGCTCCTCGTGACTCTTCTTCTTCTCTCTGCCCTGTGGTGGGCACTCGCCCAAGGCTTGCCCATTCAGCCAGTCAGCACGTCCTTCCTCAGTGGCTCCTGCGTGGTTTTCTCTTTCTACACTTCTCCATAGGAAAGCTCATCACCCTCACTGCTTCAACTGTCACCTCCATGCAAATGGCATCCTTGTTGGAAAAACTTAGGGGAGGCCCAGAAACAGAGAGGCTTAGTGTGGAAACAGGGCCAGTGTCAGGGGACATGTGAAATAGAAGCTTTGGGGGCAGGTCTCCCCAGCGGGGATCTGGCTGCTCTGCCCTCCTCCTTCCCCATCGCCCTCTCCTTTTCACAGCTGAACTACCTGGGGCCTCCTTTCAATGAGCCTGACTTCAATCCACCTCGGCTGGGGGCAGAGACACTGCCCAGGGCCACTGTCAACTTGGAAGTGTGGCGAAGTCTCAATGACAAATTACGGCTGACTCAGAACTATGAGGCCTACAGCCACCTCCTGTGTTATTTGCGTGGCCTCAACCGTCAGGCTGCCACCGCAGAGCTGCGCCACAGCCTGGCCCACTTCTGCACCAGCCTCCAGGGCCTCTTGGGAAGCATCGCAGGAGTCATGGCAGCTCTGGGCTACCCACTGCCCCAGCCTCTGCCAGGGATTGAACCCACTTGGGCCCCTGGCCCTGCCCACAGCGACTTCCTCCAGAAGATGGATGACTTCTGGCTGCTGAAGGAGCTGCAGACCTGGCTGTGGCGCTCAGCCAAGGACTTCAACAGGCTTAAGAAGAAAATGCAGCCTCCAGCAGCTGCAGTCACCCTACACCTGGAGGCCCATGGCTTCTGATCTCTGACCTTTACTATATCCTCTTTTCCCCCTTCAAGTCCTGCTCCCACTCTGGGAGGTTGGGAGGAGAAACCTGTATGCCAACACTTGTTGAGCCAGGAGACAGACAGTGAGAGCCCTGTGCCTCCCTGACCCTGGACACGGGCGTGGTGTGATAAGCCTCATCTCCTCAGCTCCCAGAGTCCTACAGGTCTGGAGAAGAGGTGCATAGGCACTGTCCTGTTTTCACAGAGGAAACACTCCAAGGAGTGGAACGGCTCTCACCGCCTCCTGCTTCCTGCCCACCACCTCCAGTGCCCACCCAGGCCCTTCTGCAACACTTCCAGAAGCACACATGAAAGGCAACAACAGGAGACCACCTAGCATGTGCCTTTCTAAGCTGAAGCCCCTTAGCTGCCCTTGCCTCCTTGGATGGGTGTTGCCCTCCTACCCCAATAACTCTACACATCCAGTTCAGGAAACAAACATGACAATGAGTCTAAACAAGAAGAGATGGGATGAAAAACAGAACGGGTGGCCTGGACTGGAGGTGACCTAGAAACCAGAAGAGGGCATATTGACAGGGACAGGGACAGACAAGACCCAACCGTCACCAAGACAGTTGGTGGCACAGGGTGGCAAAAAAAGCCACGTCGAGTATCAGGACCTTGCCTTGAATTTTCTTGCCAGCATCAAGGTGCCTTCTCTCCGTCACCTTTCCCAGGGTGTCTGTGGTTGCCTGGGCTAGGGAAGGCAGCCACAGCTGCAGCCACGGGTTTCCTGAAAGTTTACATTGTAGTAGCATTGTGAGGTGTGGGGGGCGGCTCTCCCAGGCCCTGCTCCCCCAGCCCCACCCACTCATGACTCTTAAGTTTGTTGTATTAATATTTATTTATTTGGAGATGTTATTTATTAGATGATATTTATTGCAGAATTTCTATTCTTGTATTAACAAATAAAATGCTTGCCCCAGAATTTAGTTTCTTTCACTTGCCTGGTCCGCCTAGGGCACATGGCTATGCTCCTGGTCCTGCCAGCCTCCAGCTCCCACAGCCCCTGACCCCAGTGGAGTTGCAGGCACACAGGGCTTGAGGAAACAGCTCTCCTCTCTCCAGCCCTGGGGCACTGTGCAACCTAGATCCTGTGCCCTCCTGCTACCAACTCTAGTATGTCTCTGTCATCCCAAATGGCTCTGTCACTTGTTCTTTTGCTTTTGGCCTTTGTTCTTTACCTTAGGATAGCATATTTTGGGGGAAGAGAAGAACTCCTATTGGACTGCAAGAGACTGTGATAGATGCTATTTGAGAAATGACCTAAGCTGAAATCTAGTTCCATAGCCTGCTAGCTGAATAACCTTAGACAAATTAAAGCTTTCTAGTCTCCCATTTCTCCATCTGTAAAATGGGGATAAATATACTTATAAGATTGCTGGAAAAGGTAACAGAAACAATAAAGGTTAAGATGCTTGGGAGTAGTAGCAGCAATTGTAATTACACATTACTTGGGACATGTCCCTCTGTTATGCCACTGGGTAAATTAATGGGTTAATTGCTCCCAGGCAACACATGGATATTTTACAAGGGCCTCCTAGAAATAAGGCCTTAAGCAAGGAAACAACAAATGATAGTAATGTCAGTTGACAAATTTTATTAAAGACTTAATTACCTGGCCATCACTACCAACTGATGTATGAAAGCCAAAAGAAGTCAGAGACCTAACTTGGCTCTTGTCCTCATGGAACTTGCAATCTACTTAGGAAGAACAGCTTTCCTGAAATACTAAGGTTCAAAAGTCCACGGTCACAGTCAGAGTGTAGGTGCAAGAGCTATTGGACCTGGTTGTGGTCTAGCCAGTTTCTGTGGAATGTCCCCGTGTCACCTGGCCCAAGTGGAACATCTACCACCTATACAGGTTGAGACATCTGCCCAGGCATGGCCAGGGACACCTACAAGCCCTGCTCCCAGCCTAACAAGACAGAAAGGAGAAAGTCTCTGAGCTGTCTCCATGCACAGAGAAAATGCATCATGGCCTGCTCTATGCAAAACACTAAGCAAGTGGCTATAAGAAAGACAGGGATAAGGATGGCGGGGTCCTGCCCTTATGGAGTTTATACATTACTATACTACCTGGGCAGACTTCTTGGGGGCAGACTCTGGCTCTTCCTTTCCTCTCCATCCTAGTACCTAGCTCAGGCACCAGCTTAAAGGTGTTCCAAGCCAGGTATGGTGGCACATGCCTGTAATCCCAGCACTTGGGAGGCTGAGGCAGGAGGATTGCCATGAGTTCGAGGCCAGCCTGGGATATATAGTGAGTTCAAGACCATCCTGAATTATATAGTGAGACTCAGCCTGAACTATATAGCAAGACTGTCTCAAAAAGCCAAAAATAAATAAAATAAAGGTGTTCCATTAGTGTGTGGAACAAAACAATCTAGACAAGGGAACATGATTTGGACATGGTGACACATTCCTGTAATCCTAATTACTCTGGAGGCTAAGGCAGAAGGACCAAAAGTTGAAGACCAGCCTGGGGGACTTAGTGAGATCCAGTCTCAAAAGGGGCGGGGCGGGGGGGGGGATTACCTAGCCTACTTGAGGCCTGAGTTCAGGCCCAGTACTGGCCAGGTGTGGTGGTCCATGCCTGGATTCCCAGCACTTGGGAGGCTGAGGCAGGAGGGTCACTGCAGGTTTGGGGCCAGACTGGATTACATAGTGTGTTCAAGATCAGCACTAACTACATAGCAAGACCCTATCTCAAAAAACAAAACAAAACAAAAAACAACACCACCTCCTCTAAATGCTGGGATACAAAGCAAAGCATCTAGTAGGGTGAAGGGCCTAGGCTGGGAGCCCTAGGGAAGGAAGTGGTACCCAGGGCCATCACTGTATTTCCAGACCCTGGGATAAAGCAAGTGCTCATGGTCACCTTTTGCATAAATGCACCAGATGGGATTTAACACCAGCCTGGGAGGATGGGCAGAATCTGGACAGGGGGAGACAAGACAGGATGAAGGTTGGTTAAGCCTGCTTGCCTCCTTTTCATGCATAGTGTCTTCAGGGCAAGATCCAGAATCATTCATTTTTGCATCCTGACAGCATTTTAGCACAATACTTGGCACAGTAACCTCCTTGTTAATTTGATTTAAACTGATTTAATGAGTGTTCAAGACAAGAGTGTTTTACAAGTTGAGAGAAGAGTTTGAAGGAGGCAGCTGAGCATTCTCAGATGGCCCAGGGGAACTGAGAGAAGAATGTAGAGAGAAATCTATAGGCTTTGGTGGTTCAGAAGTCACAGGTAACCTTTGGAAGTAGGTGAGAGGCAGACACCAAACTGTGAGACAAAGAAGGATATGGTGTGAAAGAAAGTAGGAGTAAATACATTTCCTCTGACTTTGGTGGCAAAGGGAAAGGATGGAGGAAAATATTTTGTTTTGTGGTGGTTGTTTTTAGAGAGAAGAGATCTAAACATATTATTGTGGAATGAGGAGGTGCTGGCTAGAGAAGAATGGAGAGGTTTGGGGAGTGGACTAAGGAAAAACCAAAGGCTTGCTGGGCAGTCACACGGGAGAACCAGGGGAATGTCAGCAGATATATCTTTATCAGAAGCCCATTCAACATGAACTGTGAGATTTCCTACTAAACCAGAAGTGGCCAGGGGCAGAAACAGAATGTAGAGGGCATTTCCCAAGGCTGAGGATGGCAAGGCAGGAATGGTAGAGGATCAAGAGACTCTACGGTGCTAGAGACTGTTACATTGCGTGAGCCACCGAGCCCACGAAGTGCAGGCAGAGTGGGCAGTGGAGAAAAAGAAGAAGGGAACTGATTAGAGAGATGCTGCATGTGGGGAGTGCCAGAGTTCACTCTTGCTCAGGGTATAAAGAGTGTGGCTTAGAGCAGTACCACTGAGCTATATCCCCAGCTCTTTTTCTTTCTGTTTATTGTTTTGATATTTTTTTTTTCCCGCTACCAGAATCAAACTCAGGGCCTTACACTTGCCAGCCAGGCACTGCACCACTGAGCTACATACCTGGCCCTGGTTTCGATTTTTTGAGGCAGGGTCTGGTTATGTTCAGGCTGGCCTTTAACTTACTGTGTAGCCTAGGCTGGCCTCAAATTCATGGCAATCCTCCTGGCTCAGCCTTCCCAGTGCTAGAATTACAGGCGTGCACTACTATGTCTCACTGCTGTTTTTGTTTTGAGACAGAATCTTGCTAAATTGCCCAG